TGATAATATTATCTTTTATTTATTTATTGGACAGATAAATATTGGTACAAAGGGGTACCGAATACATATGCGCTATACAAGTCACTTGATTAGTGTATGAGCTGTGATACTGATCGGGTGCCTAGACCGAAGCAGAGGGTTATCTTAGGGGGTCTCACCCCAAGTCTTTGACTCATAGGTCTGATCCACAATTCAGTGGAGCAACGTCGAGAGATTCAGTTTCATGGTAGCCAGTGATCAATGAATGGTCCACACGCCATTTTTTCTTCAGGATTGTGGAGCCTGTGTACACCATTGATTTGTTATCAGGATTTCCAAACTCTCACAGGTGAATCCTCCATATACATCAACCCGGTTAAAGCTCCAGACATTTTCTTTTCATTCTCTCAATTTCGTAAACAACACCCATGATATGAGAAGACAGTAAGTAGAACTTCCCTGGCTTTGGCTGTGTACTCGTATCCATGTGAGAGCATTTGGAGAAGAAGAACTGACTCTCCTCACCCTTGAGCGTACCAGGGCGCTTGAGAGCTAATTTGATCCAGAATGTCAGTGAGAATTTCATCATGAAGCCTTCTAATTTAGAGAAGGTAGACAGATGTGTGCAAACTTTTAGTAACAATAGACTATTCTGTTTATGGCTGTTTCTTTTATTCATACATATAGCATTGGAATCAGTTTAAATTTAATTATCATACTAAACACCCTGTTTGAAGCTCTTAGCAACATAACTAAGAACCCGACATCTATCTACCCATTCTAATATGTACAAGTAGAATTATTTGAGTGTTTAAATATTTTGAAAAATCAGTACAGGGTTGTGTAGAGTGTTCAGTCTTAATTAAGATTATAAACAGATCAATGTTAGACCACCGTCGAAAACTTGTAAGCGTTTGACGGCTGTTCCGTCCTAATATGAGACTGCTTAACAGTGTACATACATAATCTAGCACGTGAGACTCGAGCCCAGTATCTCCGAACCTAGCCAAGTGGTCTGGTGGTTAAATACTCGCTCGATACTGGAGGTCCTGTGTTCGAGTGCCACGTTTAAAGTCGTGGATGAGCACTACCAAGGAGGCTAATACTAAAATGAAACGTTCGTTCAGTGCTTAGAAGTTTTCAATGAACGTCTAACATTGATCAATTCATGATTTTAATAAATTTTCAAAACAGTTAATTTGCCTAAATTAATGTCATATCATCAGAAAGGGGTTTTTTATAAGTTTTATTAATTTCATATTTGAATTCATGAATTAAATAAAGCTAGATCACCATTGAAAACCTGGAAGCACTGGACGGCTGTTTCGTCTTAGTATGGAATTCCTCAGCAGTGTGCATCCACGATCCCACTCACGGGATTCGAACACAGGACATATTAGTTGGTAATATTATTAGACGATAAACATTTTTCATACTTACGTCAAGTTGAAAAAAAAAAAAACAAAAATAGTGACGAAATAAGCTCACATTTATTCTAAACAGTAAACAGTCACTAAAGAGAAACAAAAAAACAAGCCAACTGATGTATGTAGGGAAATGTAGTGAAATTTTGTCTCGTGGGTGTTGTCAATGTTTAAGCAATATGGTTTACAACATTTAGAATTTGGAGTCAGTAATCGATAATTTAACCGAGATCATATTGTTATCCGTTTTTGGTTTAATCCTATGCAGGGTTTGAGTGGTCCGTGATCTGATTCCATTTTAATCGTTTCTGATTTGTGACAAGTCATCCTAATTAAACGCTTTATTCGGTCCCTAAGCTATTCTCGTAACCCTCAAGCTAGAACTACACAGCAATCTGAACATGGGAGGAAAGGCGCAAAATATGCATGAAGCACCTTACTCCAAAGGTTCGTTTTAGTACAGAAAATATAGGGTTTTTATAGTATTTTAGATGTCCTTGGGTTTCCCGAAAATTCTGGAATGCTACTAAACATAGTAGCAGTATAGTAATCAGCCAATCAGAAAATCTACATGTGACTTTTCACTTTCTTGATGTTTCTGGCTAAACTTCTAGTGAACGCTGATTAGATAAAATGAGTCTTAGTGATTGCTGAACCTTTCTTGACTTTTACGAGAAGTTTTCTGCATCAACCCAACAGATTGCTATTGTGATATACATATCGTCATTCTTCGTATATGATGATCTACTTAGATCGCGTTAGTGAATAACGGAGCTGAATGGATTTCTCCAAAACATATATTTTTGTACAATCATTGATTTGGGTAGGCAATCAGACGGACGAATCGACGACAAGAAAGCGAAGCGAAATGATGCTCGTTAGAGAAAGCGTGTGAGCCAACTTCGTCTAACCAAGTGTTAATCGATATTTATAATCATACAAAAATAAGCTGCAGATATATGATGAGTAGGATAAGATTATGCACACACATATATGAGGTCATATAAAAGCAGTTAAGATTGATAAGTGAATCATTAACAAGATCAAAGTATGACTCAAGTAGAATGAATAGATTGACCTGTTTGAACGCTAGAATAAGGTCTGCGGGCTTAACATAGTAACCGACACTACATGGTTATCTTTACAAACTATTGGGAAGTCTCAAAAGTTGATGAATCATTTAGTCATTACTGCCTATTTAGATCTCATTTTAAGATTATTTCATAATTGAAAAAAATAATAACAGGCTACTACATATCTCTATAATTAAAATAGTTTAGGGAATTCACTTGATTTTGTTTACTGGAATCATTCCATTGATCTTTAGGACTGAAATTGATCGATATTGCTTTGAGTCACAAGCATTATAAGCAGAGGTGGATGGATGGTAGCTAGCAATGGAACCCAGGAAGTATGTTTCGTCACCATTGCACAAGCAAATGACTATCACGACTCAGTAGGTAAGAGAATAAGGAGATAGTGTTTTAAGCGAACGGTAAAGGGTTCGAGTCCCAGAATAAACATTAACAGATGGAGATACATCCATTCAAATGATTAAAGTAATATTTATTATCAAAGGAAATTGTGCAGATTATTAGTCTGTATAGTTCACTTTACAGTTTGGTTTTAGTTAGGTAGCTACTCAGTAGGACAAAACTAAAACATTTGACAAGAGATTGTAAGGTCCAGAATTGAAATTATGGAGAGATCATGAATATACATTGCTCTGTGATTCCTAGACTAGAACTAAACAGTTGTCTAAAGCTTCTTGGTTTTTATTGGTTCTCTAATAGAATTCAATTAATGTTTGAAATAAGATTCAATCTGATTGTCTTAGGAAGGCTTCTACTCACCTTGTAGATGACTTTGAACGCAGAGTCTGTCTTGATTGAATGACCTGCGTACACAAGATGTTCGATTATAGAACTTCTTATTGAGCCGTTGCCTCCTCTTTTTAGTCACACTGGATAATGTTCTTGAATTCTTTTGGATAAAGTACGCATCGAACGACCTGTATACCTAGCTCCACAAGAGCAGGTAAATTCATAAATGCACATTGAGTTGGTCAGATGCGATATTCATTTTCAAAGCTGTACAATCGCAAATATATATACTTCTTTTTACTTCATCGCATCTGACCATCTCAATATGCATTTACCAATTTACCTGCTGTTGTGGAGCTAGCTATACAGGTTGTTCGATGCGTACTTTATCCAAAATGAAATAAGATTCATCAGTTATTAACAATGAGATATTTTCAACAAGATATCGTAATTTGCCTACTATTATTTCTAACAAAGAACCACCTTTCAGATGAAGAGGAAATTAAGAAAGAATGTTAGAAGTGAATAGGTCATACATTGTGAAAATCATCATGTTGCATCACAAAGTAAGGGCTTAGTTTGGATCCTGAAGGGAAACGGAAAGAAGGAAGATAAAAGTATAGATTAAGTAGAGAAGTGGAAGGAGACATGAAAAGAATGAATACCAGATGAAAAGAACTGGAAATAATTGATTAGAACAGAATTGGATGGAGAATGTTAATAGGTGGCTTATGCTCTTCAACGAAGTGTAAGTCGGTAACGTGTTTAACCTGAAATTCTATCAACCAATTTGATAATGAATAAACATGTCAGTGTTTAAACTAATATACATATATTACCAGAAGAGATTTTTGTGGATATTATAGTAATCTAATAGTTGAGTCCATAAATCATTTGAAGCTAGACCGCTATGGATAATTTGGAAGCACTAGACGACTATTTCGTCCTATTATGGGACTCCTCAGCAAAGTGCATTCACGGTCTGGTCCCACGGGATTTGAACCTTGGAACCTGACAGTTTCATGATTGATCGCTTAACCTCTAGACCATTGAACTGGCCGCCATACAACGGTGTTAATGCTGAACTTCAATCCATCCATGAAGTTGCGCCACTGTCCACCATTGACTTCAGTGAGTTACTATCTCACAATAAAACCCCACTGGTCACTATTTCTCACTAAATTTCAAGGAAATACCCCTTGAAACCAGTCACTGATGAGCATATGTTGATTGATATTAGAAGAGGTTTTGTGGAGATTGTAATAATTTCAATAGTTGAGACCATGAGTCAATTAAATCTAGACCACTATGAATAACCTGGAAGCACTGGATGACCATTTCATCCTACTGTTTAACTCTTTAGCAATGTCCATTCACAGTCCTACACCAAAGGGATTCGGACACAGGACCTACAGATCATCACATGGACAATTCACCTCAAGATCATTGGGCTGACCGACATCCACCAGGGTTAATGTCTATCTTCAACCAATCCATATGTTAATAATAAGTTTTGAATATATGAATCCAAATTGATTTTTCTTTTTTTTCTTTTTGGAGCGAGAGAGAGAGAGGGAGACGGGTAATTTTCATTTCGAATAATCTAAGCTATTTGATTGGTAAAATCTCTAGTTGAAACATGGTTGGTTACCCGAAATAAATCAAATAGAAATAGGAAAAAAAAAAGAAAAAAGAAGCAATTAAGGGAAACATAATAGAATTTCAATCTTTGTTGTATTTTTATCAAAGAAAAGAAAATAAAGAAAAATAAAGTAGGGAATAAAAAGAAAAGAAAAGAAAAGAAAATGAAGATCATTTTCAACGATTTGGATCTACTTCATTTATATTTCATTCCATTCATGAATAACACATTGATGAATGTCATTTAAATCATTACGCAATCATTACGGAATTATCATTTCAATAGTGTAATTCTAAGAGAAAACAATCGAACTTCTCTAAGTTGCTCCTTTATTTTTCTCTCTTTCTTTTCTTTTCTCTCTTTTTTTCTTTTCAATGAGTGAACTATCAAATGAAATCAACTTGGTTGCTAAAAATGACGACGGTGATGATGATGATGATGACGAGAAGGAGGAGGATACAATGAAATCAAATGATTATTTAAATGGATTAACTATATCAAATTATACACAAGAAATGCATAGAGAATTATCAACTCCATTATTAATGATAACTAGTCCAAACGATATGGTTACTTATGATAAACATGATCATGATCGTGATCAAGATCACGATCATGAACGTGATCCACAGCAACAACAATCTGTAACTAAGGCTAATCAGAAAAATCAATTAACTGTAAATAAACAACGTTTATATTGTATAAATCCATCTATAAATTATTTCAATAATAATAATAATAATAATAATAATAATAATAATAATAATAATAGACGGTATAGTGATCAAGGTAGTAGATTATCTAATCAACAATCAAATCTATCAACAATCTATAAACGACAAAGTCTATTCAATATTAATGCGAATCATCATCATCATCATCATCTTAATTATCCTAATCAGTCTAATCAACATCATCATTATCCTAATCATGATTTGTATAAGACACGTTTATATCCACCGACAAGATTGAAAAATTCCTCTACATCTAATGTTGATTTATTAGCTGAAGCAATATTGAAAATGCAAGGTACATTGAATTGTAAGTTTAACCATTGAAATATATAAATATATTCAATTTAATAATGATTTCATGAATAGTGATTAGTAATAGAGTTTAGGATGAGAGTTTCGTCCCTTATAAGACTCATCAGCTTCAAATGGTTTGAATTATTTTCTTCTGGTTAGTGTCTTTTTTAGCGAGTTCCTTTTCTACAGGATGGAGTTACTAACCCCATGCTCAACCCTCCTCCTTCTTTACCCGGGCTTGGAACCGGCAGTAAATCTAGAAGATCTACAGGCAGAGTTACTCATCAGCTAGATAATGTTTATATTCATATTGAAATTCGTGACTAGTAGTAGTTTTATGAAACACTCGTAATGTATATATGTACATACTTCGTTTATAAGCAATGATGGATAATAGTTAGTATTGGAATCTCGGTAGTATGTTTTGTCTTATTTGAGACTGGATATCTGGATGTATCTGAATCCCAGATGTGTTGATGTTTGATTCTGGGACTCGAACCCAGTATTGTTTGCAGCAAATATCGTTGCGTTATCCACTTAGCCGCAGAGTCCTGATAGACACTTGCTTGTGCGTTGGGATTCAATTACTAGCCATTATCCATCTTCACTCTTAATACTTATGAATTAATGCAATATTGAGGTGATACGCACAGTACACACACATGTCAATAAGAGAAACTGATCAATTTCAATCCTAAAGGTCAATGAGAAGATTCAAGTAGATCAACAATACCAAGTGAATTTTCAGAACTAATAATATTTAGAATTAAATATGAAGATGAAATGAATATTTTACTGTTATGAATGAGAAAACAAGTGGGAGACAATCAAATGTATTTGAATACAACAATACAGAATATATTGGTAACGTCTGAGAATCATACAGTAGATGTCAATCAATTGTTTAATACTTGATCGTTCTTTCGTTTCCACATCAATCGTCCCCTGTTTTTATTCTCTTCTCTTTGATCTTGTTAATCTTTTGCCGCCAAGCATTTCACTTTAAATTGATGACACATACTACTTATATCTGTCGACATCAGTAGCACACACCATGAAATTACTCTAATTTTAAGGTGCGTTACATTAACACTACCTTTCACTTACACATTCATAAGCAAATTAATTATGAGTAGCGATTGTGAGTGTTTTAGAATAAACTAATGAAGAATTCTATTTGCAAATCTTAGTAATAGCGAAGACAGTGGTAATGTTGGAAATGGTAATCGCACACTAACCTCCAGTCTCAATTCATTAACACTATTGTTAATAATTTAATAGTTGAATTCATAAGTCAATTGAGGCTAGACCATCATGGAAAGCCTGAAAGCACTGCATGGCCATTTTGTCCTATAGTGGCACTCCACAGCAGTGCGCATTCACGATTCCACCTCGCAAGATTCGAACTTTGGGACCTATCAGTCTCGCACGCGGGTGCTTAACCACTAGACCACTGAGCTGTTCAGCACCCAACGATGTTATTGTCTAACTTCAATCCACGAATTTGCGCCACTGTCCACTATTGTTATCAGTGAGTTACTATCTCATCTCAGTGGACTAGTGGTTAAGCACCCTCGTGCGGGACTGATAGGACATGGGTTCGAGTCTCGCAAAGTGGTGTCGTGGATGCGCACTGATGAGGAGCCTCATACTATGACGAAGCGGCCGTCCAGTGCTTCCAGGTTTTCCACGGTGGTCTAGTTTCAATTGACACATGAACTCAACTATTTGAACTTAAATTGTTTTAATATAATACAGTTTGATTTGAATTTTGTTCAGATTGACTTCTCTGACTAATTCAATGTTTCATATCAATATAGTTAGCTTATAATTAAATCCAGTGAGTTGTAGAAATATTACATCAGAAATTATGTATGTTTCTAACCGCAGTATAGACTTAATTCTGCCTGTTACCCCTTGTGGAGGTGCATAGTCTACTCATCAGCATTCTCTATCGAACACACTACTGGTTAATCCTTTCCATTAGTTATCAATGTAAACTTTATAACGAATATAGGTAAATAGATCAACGATTTAGTGTATAGGGTTTCAGTCGTAACAAATAACATTTCAACCATTTGTTTACTTTGAAGGATAATCTTCTTTGGAATATCATCACGAACTGATATTAGCTATAATGCCAAAACACTATTAAGCCAAATGGATGAATGAATTTTGTGCCGAAATTCAAGATCTACTATCGTAAATCTGATTGGTTCGTTCATAAATTATAGTCTCGCCCTTTGTAGTTTTAAAATGCTCAGCGTTACGTTTGATTGAGTATTGTTCTCTAAGTTGGATGGTTTAGTCGTGGAGCTTTCATTGTTCTTCTGTAAGACATCATCAGCATAAACCAAACTATTCAGCTCAAAGAACAAACCTTCATCAAAATCATCCATCTGAACGAAAAAATCTTCTCCAACATCTCATGTTATTTTCTTTGTACAAACTATGTTTCAATTAAACTGTGAATCAAATGAGCTTTTTTAGGGATTAATACATATGCAATTCATGGTTTATTGAAAAAATGCTTTATTGAGGTAATTCGATCAGACGAAAAATGAGATCAACGAGAGATTCTTGACAATTAACTTGAACTGACTCTATTGAAATTGTATGCTTCAGGGTGGATGAATTATTCTTCAGGCATTTCATCGTCTTTGTGTTGATGGTAATTTGGATGATGATGATGATGATGATGATGATGTAGAGAAAGTCGTTGAAAGCTTCAGGAATAAACTGCCCATCTTAGTGAATGTGATTTTAACAAAGTGATCTTGTTGAACTGTAAAACTTCCCCAACATTTTAGAATTTAACTGAGTAGCTCTTTTTGATCACAGTTATTACATTATACTATAGTAAAAAGAATTACATATAGGTAGTATTTCCCGGTTTTCCGATTTTGATTTATTGATTAATGAAAAGTTTCTATGTAATGTACTTGATAAAACATAAACACTTTGAATACAGCTGAACATTTCTAATTGTTGGATAGTGATTTTAAAAGTATTTTGTTTTAGATGGTGGTTCGAGGTAGTCAACATCAATAACTTATCTTAACATTGTGCACGCAATGTTGAGTCACTTAGACTAGTGGCTACATTGAAACATGGTCGATAGGAATTGATTTGCACTAAGAAGGATTTGACATATATGACATTGATCACTGCCCAATGATCAATCAATTGTAAAGACGTCTTAGTCCTACAAGAGGTCGATTACGGCCCGGATCGCTTAGTGGTAACGTCTCTGAATGTGAGGCTGAGTGACACAGGATCGAATTGTTTCAATATTTCATCATTATGATATCATTTGATTTGTTAACAATGCAGTTCATTTTAGCTATGATTAAATAGTTGTTTACTTGGAGATGTAATTAAGTTTCACAACACAGAATGATCGTAATTAGACACCGATTGAAAATCAGAGAGTATTAAACAACGCTTTTGTTTTATTATAGAATGTCGGGTTAGCACTGCATATCTACTATCCCTCATAAAGGATCTGACCTTTAACTTTTTAGGTTTCACTTAAATTTAGACTGCTGATCCGGTAGTTGGTGGTTCTACATGTCTAATTCGAATCATTCTGCAAGATTTGGGAATCACCTTGAGATTTGTCTAATTTTATGGTTACAGTAGTTTAATTATTTTAGTGTTCTAAAATAAGTGTGGTACATTAGTGGTGTAAATGTGGTGTCATTAACAAAATTCGATAAGCGTTTGAAGTAACCTTAGTAATAGTTTTTGAAGTATATTTGCCATTTAAGTAACTGTTTAATTTGAAACTCTTAATCCATCCTATATGAGATTTGTTAAATGGGTGTACCTGTATTTCATTGTTGATGCCGGAACTGAGTTCGAACTCATTGTTTAGCATTTGGACTGTTAACATCCTATTCATGAAGTTACTAAGTTCGAATAGTCACTAACATGTTCATCGGTTATTGCTAACTAACTTTATGAATAAACCGACCTAGTCTAAATATTTAAATGTTTTTGGATAACAATAATAGTGGTTAAGTGCTCGCGCTCGAAACTAGTAGGTCGTGGGTTCTAATCTCTCAGGGGGCGAGATCGTGGATACGCACTGCCGAAGAGTCCCACAATAGGGAGAAAAGGCCGTCCAGTGCTTTCAGTTTTTCCATGTTGGTCTAGTTTCAACTGACTCATGATCTTAACCATTGAAATTACTATAATATCCACAAAACCCATCTGATAGTTGTCTATAATCTGAGAACTGCACAATAAATACTTCAATTACAAAATGTCAATCAATTGTTTCACAACTTACTGTTGCTTCATTTCCACAGCGTTTATTCTTTGTTCTCGTTCTGTTTTCTCCGATTTTCTTAACTTTCTCTACTACCAGATATTTCACTTATGATTGATGATACATACTACTTATATCTGTCGACATCAGTAGCAAACAATGTTTGAAAGAAGAAACTTAATGGGGACAAGTGATTTATGGTTGTTTACAGTGTAAAACACTTCATTAATCTCCTTACACCATAAACACATAATCGTTGATATATATAGAGAAAATTAGAATAAAATACGTGTTAGGAATTAAAGTTCTTTCTTTTCAGCCGAACTTCAATGCATCTCTTATCATACATAAGTGTCATGAACGAGAGCATCAAGTGGGGCAATCGAATGTACTTGAACACAAACTTACAGGATCACTTAGTAAAATCTAAGAACCATATAGTAATGGCTTCATGTATAAAAATGTCTTAAATCATCCCAAACTTGATTGTTCCCTCATTTCCACATCAATCATTCACTGTTCTCGTTCTTTTTTTCTTCAATCTTCTTAACGTTCTGATAGCACACATTTCGCCTTCCATTAATGATATGCACTACTTATCTCTGTCAACACCAGTAGTACACACCATAGGTGTTCTGAATAAGAACAATTCATATAGGCTATTCAATAAAAACATTCAGTTAAAGAATAAAGAACAAACGGTTCATATCAGTTATGGTTCCACTATACTACTAATATGA